AGGGGAAAATCAAGACTAGGAATCATTTCAAATTAGTGGACTGCAATAGATTTATCAAAAGCACAAGTTGTCACCATTCCCCTTGGTTGGAAAATGCCCCCAAAGGACAGTTCCTCAGAATCCGTCGAAACTGCAGTGACGTGATTAGTTATGAGGATCAATCATTAAAAATTAAAACCGATTTTATGGAAAAAGGATATGATGCATTAAAATTGGAGAAATCTAGACTGGAAATTAAACATAGGGAAAGAAAAGACCTGCTAACTTTTAAAACAAGAACTAATTCAGACACACAAACCATTCCTTTTATCTGTAATTTCAACACACATAACCAACAAATACGCAGAATTATTAACAAATACTGGCCGTTTTTTTTTTTTTTTTTTTTTTTTTTTTTTTTTTTTTTTTTAAATTTATTTTAAGATCCTGCCCTGAAACCAATTCTTCCTCTTAAACCTAGAATAATTTTATAGAGGCGTGAGAAACCTTAAAAGTACTTTAGTATGAAATTCCCTTAGAGAGAAAAAAGATTCCCCAACCATATTTAAAAACGAAAGGGGTTTTTATGGTTGTGGCTTATGTACATCTTGCAAAAAGTCTTGATGTAATAGAAGGGTAAGTAAAGATATAGTCCTAAATGAGAATGTAAAAATACCTATTAGACAGTTTATGACGTGTTACACGAAGAACCTAATTTACCTTCTAAGTTGCCCTTAAGGGTTAAGATATGTGTGCCGGACAACTAGACCCCTACACGTGAGGATCAGAGAACATATATATAAAATTCAGAAAGGGTTTGAACAACACAGTGTTTCAAGCCATTTCAAAAGGTTTCATGATCAAAAACCTGAAGGTTTATCATTCATGGGGTTAAAAAAAAATATATAGAAATTGGAGAGGGTGAGATTTTATTAAAGAATTGGGAAAATCAGAGATGCAATGGATTTACAGACTAAATACCAGCCCTATGGGCTCAACTCAGATTTTGAGCTTTGCCTTTTTTTATAATTCTATACGATTTGATTAAAAGCCGGTTGATTTAAGTTTAGAGATTTTTCATTATCCTCTTATATATTACAATTTAACAATTACAAGTTTTATATGGAGATAGAATTGGCAGGAATAATAGGGGATATACTATCAATTGTCTTTCCAAATACTGTAAGTATGGACTCTGCCCTTAGATAATTACTAATATACCAGTAAAACAAATATAATTATTAACTTCCTATTTGGTTAGAGTGATTATATTCACTACAATATAGTGTGATGAATTACAGTCTGGTAAGCATTTATAGTGTACTTTTATATTGTATTTGGTATTTATTTTGAATTAAGGACAAATTTAAATTGTTCAAATTAATATTTTAGCATAGATTATAAGCTTTGTGTTAACACAACGATCATTGGAAATGAAATTGTACCGTGTACTTTTATGTATGCACATCAGGTTCTATTTAGGAAAGGGTTAATATGATGTGAAAGTTGTATTCATTTGATTTGATACGATATACATATGAATACTAGGGACTGATACTATTCTCCATTCTCTTCTTTCACATGTACCCCTGTTTTTATGGACTTTGGCATTTTATGAGTTACTGCAATCCGCGTGGATTTTCCTGCCCATAAGGGATGGTGGAAGATTGGAATATCCAGCTGAATTTATTATTGTTTCAGAAGACTACACGCAGATTTTAATTACAATAAGGAATTCCACATAGGAGTTATTTTGAATCGCTTTGTAGAGGTGAAGGTAGCTGACGGAACTCCGAGTGAGAGAATCCGTTCAGCTACCTCCAATCACGGCATGATAATGAGGCATGGACCGCACATGTCTTACCTGTGGGTGGTAACGACGTGTGAGGGACACACACACACCGGCAGTCCATTTGTTGATTTAAACGATATTTAAACAGACGGTGAACCAGGAAACATTCAGCTCATTGATCCGGTTGAAGAAGCAACGTCCCTGTGGTGAAACGCGTTCCGGTTTTATTTGGGCATTGTGCCATTTTAATTTATAGATTGTATTAATAAATTTGTTTTATATTTTTTATTCTTCATCCTGGTTCTCCATTAATCATTTTACACCTGGGAGTGCAGTTCCTAACCTGCACATCGCTCAGAAACTGAGTCAATCTAGACTCCCTGTTTGTAAGTACCCATTTGGGAACTTTATTTTGTGTTCTATTATCACAAGCCGTGCTGCGCAATCTTTGGTGTATCTATTGCCCTTCAGGACAAAATATATATATATATATATATATATATATATATATATATATATATATATATATATATATATATATATATATATATATATATATATATATAAAATATATATATATATATATATAAAACACAGTAGGGGTGGGTCGCCTATACGGACCCAGAAGTGATTCAAACCAGAGCTGGGTCCATAGCTCTCTGTTTGTGAATGTGTAACAATTATATATGTGTATAATCTTTTGGCCATTTACTATCTACACTATGTTTGATTATCTTTTGTAGATATCGGCTTATTTGAGACTTGAATGAGAATTTATCTCCTAAACGGAACAAAAAAAGGTGATAATTTGCTCATCCATTACATAAGCGCTACATTCTTTTCTGTTTAAGTCGTTGGTGATATTGAAGGAGTCACAAGAATGTTTAGCTGCTCATTTGTATAATATTACCATATATACGCTGGTACAACATATTGTGAGAAAAAAGCGCTAGTCCTTATCCCTATCTTGCATTTTGCCAAAATTATGGTGTCAGTGTTTTATTGGTAAATGGGTAATGGTGGGGTTATGCCTATGCCGATAAGGCGACTACGCAAATGTCATGTGGTACTGCCACTATCTCTGTCTGTGTGTGTGTGTATCTGTCTATGTGTGTATCTGTTTATCTGTCAGTGTATGTATCTGTATGTCTGTCAGATAGTGTATCTGTTTATCTGTATTTATGTCTGTTATTGGAGAGCTGCCACTATTGCAATGCACCAACATATTATTAATTTATTTATTTTTTGACAATCTTTATTTTTAGTTTTGTGCCGAACTGTAATATGGCAACATATAAAGCATAACAAGTATATCGTGCCTGTGATACATTGGGTATGTGTAACGTCTCATGTAAAACAACTTCAACAAAACAATGACATTATTAGGTTTTCTGCCTCTAACCGTCTCTTTTTTGTACTTAGTGCTACGGTGTTTTGTTATGTGAGTGGCCTATTTAGAAGCATTTTCCTTGGCATTAATGTAGTCTCATGTAGCTTACACTGTCTAATTTTCCCCTACTCTCTGAATTAGTGTCATCTTCTATGTTGCGGTCTCGAGAGGCTAGTGCTAGCTGAATGTGCCCATGCTCTTCCACTCTTTGTGGTCTATATGACAGCATATTGTTAGCTGTGTCTATGCCTGTCTGCCAGTGGCACTAAAATTTTCTTTACTTGGGGCACTGTGTGAGGAAACGTAGGGGCGACCCGTCTCATCCAGTCAGGCGTCCTGGGCTGTACCAGTCTGCCCATGGCAGCTGTGCCCATTGGATTAGTATCTGGCAGACAGGGCATGTCTCTGCCCTCATCGCTTCGGTGATGCAGATACGGTCCCATTAAGGCTGACCCTCTCAGTCAGTCAGAACCTGCGTGGCGTAGGGCCAGGTGAGCTCGGGTACTCTACGGGCACATGCCTCCTCTAGTGTAGCTTATCACCTGTATGCTCTTGTCTTCGATGTGTTACTATGAGACATTCTCCTTTTTTGGGCTAGCCTACCTGGTCGCTAGGTCCACATTCTCTCTCCTTAGTCATGTCGGGGTTCCAGAGCCCCCCCACCTTTTAATGTGGGTATTCATGGCTATGCATCTCCTGCATCGCCCTCAGGGCCCCAGTTGCGGGGAGGGGAGTGCTTAGGGTGACCACCCACCCCTGGCCCGTCCGGGTGCCCAGCTCCTCCCCCCAATGGTCACGGAGTCCTGTGTGGCCTTCCTATCTTCTGGACAGGTAGAGTCCAACAATGTTGGTATTTGTCCAATTTGTCTCTGAGTGTCGCTGTGAGCCTCTCCATCTCGTGTATCTCTTCCACTTTGTCCATCCACTGCTGGAGGGTAGGCACCTGGGGAGACCGCCATCAAACTGGGACCATGAGCTTGGCTACGTTGAGGAGGTGCTTTGGTTAAGGAGGATTTATATCGTGAGATAGGCATCGGGGTATGGTGGAGCAGCATCTGGAGTGGCTGGAAAGGAAGGTCGCTGTCCGTGACCTCTTGTATTGTCTGGACTTCCCGCCAGAATGGGATGAACGTATTACAGAACCACCAGATGTGTAGAGCTGTACCTGGCCACCCCCCACATCTCCAGCATATATCCGGGACATCAGGTAGCATGCGGTGTAGCCTGTCTGGGGTCCGGTACCATCCGGTGAGCAGTTTGTAGTTTATTTCCTGCATTTTAGAGCATATGGAACTTTGATTTGTCAGTTTGTATATTTTCGCCCAGTCTGGGTCAGTGAGCATGATTCCCATGGCTTTCTCCTAGTGTGCAGCGTGTTTTGCTGGTTCCAGTGGGGTTGCCGCTATTAGCAGGGCATATAGGAGTGAGATCCCCCTAGGGGGGGCATGTCCTGTTTGTGCACAGTCCCTCAAACTCTGTCAGGGGTCTGTGGAAGAGATGTTTCCCATTTTGTGATTTATAGTATGACTTGACTTGGAAGTAGCGTAACCTATCTAAGGGTGTCGGGGTCCTGTCCCCCAGCAGGTCTGGTAATTGTTTGAGCTTGTCATTTGAGCACCACTGGTGCATGTAGGATCAGTCTGTCCCACCGAACGCGAGGAGGTCCGCATATGCTAGGCCGTCCGCCACCTCCGGGTTGTGCGCCACCAGGGTCAGAGGCCCCGGCACAGTGGTGAGCATGAGTTTTGTCCTTATCGTGCACCAAAATTTCAGGGTTGCACCTATGAGCGGGTGGTGCTGTGCTATTGTGTCTCTGATAGGTTCGTATCTCCATACCTTTTATCTGATACCTCGTAGGAGTCTTGACAGAAGCACGTCTCCGAATTCTTTAATGTAGCAGACCGGTAAGCCGTCTAGTCCTGGAGCCTTGTTCAGTTTAGCGGACTTTAGAGCTGCCTGTAATTCCTCTAGTGTGATTGGGGCTTCCAGGGCTTCCACGTCCTCCTGACTTAGGGTCTTAGTTACATATTGCTGTAGGTATGCTGTTATCTGAGCTGTTCTTTCCTGCTCCCCGGCGGTTCGGGCTACGTTGAGGTTGCCACTTACAACGAGCAGTCGTTCCCGGAACTGCTCGAGTTTATGCAGCTTGCTTCTCAGAAAGCAGTGTTGCCATGTGTTGGGAGCGTAGATGCATCCAAAAGTATACTTGGTGTCCGCTATCGAGCCTTTCAGAAACAGATAGTTGGTGGGGTCCCCACAGACCTCCTTGCAAACTAACGGAAAACCGTGCTCGCAAACAGAACTGCGACCCCAGCTTTTTTAGCTGAGGGATGGTTGGCGAAGTACCCCACTGGGTACCTGGAGTCACGGAGCGCCGGGCCAGCTACTCCCCTAAAGTGCGTCTCCTGTAAGAATGCAATGGAGACCCAGGATTCCCATAGGGAGCGCAAAAGGTGGGATCTACGTTCGGGGGCATTCAGGCCCCTCGCATTGTGCGACCAGAGATGGAGCGGAGCAGGCAAGAACCCCAGACCTGCTGAGGGGTGGTGAAGCTGGGGCCCCCCAGGGCCAACAGGGGAAGGGGGGGGGACCCCCAAAAGGAGCACGGGCAGGGACATGAGGGGGCGGGGGAGAGACCTCCAGTGGGACAGGGATGGTAGGGATGCAGAGGCGACAAGGAGAGCTGTGCACAGAGGTCAGATTCTGTGTTCCCCCTGTGAAGGGGCCCTACTGGGACGGGGGGAAAGTAGGCGGGAGCTGGACCCCGTAGCAGGGGTATATCGTAACTTGGTGCCTGTGGTCTGGTGTCGAGTGGTGCACCCCTTATAGGTGCTAACCCCTCCCCCCAAACCATGGCAATAAAGGTACCTGTCACTTGGGGCGCGTGCTGACGTGACCAGCGCAGTGCGCGTGTCTAGTGCACTTGTTACTGTCTAAGCTACTGACTGTAAATTGTATAACTCAGCCAGAGTATATCTGGTAAAATAGAGTGAGTAGCTAAGAGTTTTGAGTGTGCGCCTCCCCAACCAGTTTGGCGTGTGCTGCGTCGTGATGTAATGGTCATATGCTCGCTAATAGGAATATTACGTTTCATGGTGTATTATTGTAGGTGTGAGCGGTAAGCCTCAATGGCGGGCGTCCTGTCGTCCTGCATGTATTTGGGTCTCATCCGTGGGTCTAAGCATCAGAGATCCGCTTCCCCCATGCTCCCTCCCAAAAGTGTAGGTATGCTTAAAGCATATCCGTATTCGTGGACTAGGTGTAGTGCATTGTATCCCCTGGTGCCCCTCCCCCCAAAAACGTCCTCCGACCACCCATGTCCCCTCCTATACAAGTCCACTTACCGACCACCCGCCACTCAGTCAGCTCCCCCGACCTCCTATTCTTCCGGGCCGGAGAGACCTCCCCACTGGCATTGTGGGGCATTCCTCTCCCGCTGTGCTCCCTCATGGAACAATGGTGTCAGAGGGTCTCTCCTTGCAGCAATGGTTTCTTCTATAATCCAATTTCTGACTCTGACCACCGGCAGGAGCAGGGCCCTCAGAAAACCTGGGATGTCCTCTGGCCAGCGTGCGGTCACCCATGAGTTTCCTTGGTTCGCTTGGAGGCTAAAAGGGAATCCTCAATGATCTGGGATCCTCTTGTCACAGAGTGAGCTTGTAACTGGGCGCAGGGCTCTTCTTGCATCCAGCATTAGTGTAGACAAGTCCTGGTACAGTGATATGTCGACTTTGCGGAACCTGATGGTGGGCTCCCCTCTCGCAGCCACCATGATCTTTTCTTTCAGGCCTCCGTCGTGCAGACAGCATATGACATCTCTTGGGCTGCCATCCTGCCGCGCGGGGCCCAGTGCTCTGTGCGCCCTCTCGAAGCGAATGATGTCTGGTGCTTCAGCTCCCAAGGTGTGCTGGAACAGCGCTTCCATCGTGTTGGTGAGCGGGGAAGAGTCAGTTTCAGGCAGGCCGCACACCCGTATGTTGCTGCCCCTGCTGCTATTCTCCAGGACTTCTACTTGCCTACGTATTGTAAGCAATAGGTTGCCCTGCCTGGTGACAGCCATTTCTGTAGCCTGATGTTGCTGGGAACAATCTTGGGCCGCGGCTTCCACCCCCTCTACCATGCCCTCCAGCGCTGTCAAGTCTGTGCGCAGGCCTGCCAGTTCTTCCCGCAGTGCCCCCCGGAGTTCTTGGAACACACTGGGTGAGTGGCAGCGATGCAACATGGCTGTGTAATATAAAAGCAAATACAAACATACATGCTTCCTCTTAAAAATGCTGTAGAATACTACATATTCTATGTTTCTGTTCATATTAGGTATGGATATCTAACATGTTAAAAAGAACAGATGGTAATTTGCTATTCTGTACTGTGAAAATTCTGGAACACTGGTCTGTATTAAGAGGATCGAGGGTCTTAGAGCTCCAGCTAAAAGTTCTGATGTCATTATAAACTACTAAAGGAGGGTGTTCAACATTATTAAGCAGAGCACCATTTTCATGCAATATGGGGAAGAAACAGAATCTCTCTGCTGCCGAAAAAGAGTGAAATAGTTCAATGCCTTGGACGAGGTATGAAAACATTAGATATTTCACAAAAACGTAAGCGTGATCATCGCACTACTAAGAGATTTGTGGCTGATTCAGAGCACAGATGGGTTAGTGCAGATTGGTTACGTTGCCTTTGAGACCCTATGGTAGCAGTGGTAGCAGTGTTTGTGACCAAATGGCTACTAAAAAAGACTGGACATACCCCATTTGCAATACCTTGGGTTGTCTACTATTGCAAATGGTATGCCATTATGGGTGTAAATTTCATTCCCGGGCTACTATACAGTCTCAAAGGCAACGTAACCAATCTGAAGAATTTCAATTTCAAATGTAACGTGCTATATTTGACCCTGTAACTTCCTAAAACGCCATAAAACCTGTACATAGGGGGTACTGTCTTACACGTGAGACTTTACTAAATACAAATATGTGTATTTTATTGCAGTAAAATCAAACAGTATTATGACACTGACCTTTAAAATGCAATTTAGAACTAAAAAAATCAAAAAAATCGTATTTTCTCCCATTTTTTTCATATTAAATTATGTTTCATAGCTAAATATTTGATATTAAATGAAAGCCCTGTTTCCCCTGAATAAAATGATATATAATAAGGGTGGGTGCATTTACTATGAAAGAGGTGTATTACGGTTGGACAGACATGTAGCGCAAATGCCAGGTTTTGTTTACATTTTGTTTTGTTCACAATGTGTACATTTGGCTCCGTGGTTAAGGGAGTCAGACTCAGAATCTGTGTCATACCTCTATTGGCTTTCTTGTAGACAGTCACTAGAAGCAGTCTTAGTTCTGCAATGTAAACATTGCAGTCTCTCAACTTTATTTTCCATTTACAGCAGAAAATACAGAATACTTATCCAATCACTCTCAATGTACACATATTTATTACAAACACCTTTGTTACAAACTGCTGTTTGTTTCATATAAATGATAAGTAGACATAATACAAGTCCTTGGGAGTTCCCTCTCCCCAGTTTATCCCACACTTAAGTCTCCTTTTCCCCTTTAACAGTCTCTCATTCCCACTTTTCCTTGCCATTATTATTTACATACTACCTATCTAATTTTTTTTTTTTTAGGGTCTGTGTGTGTGAGTGTGTCAGAAACTGTGTGGCAAGACTTCTTGTGCTGTTGTGTATGTAGGGAACTGATTGAGTTATTTGTGGGAGTTGCATGAGGGGAATCTTAAGTGGAGTGGGGAGACGGAATGTGTTCTTTGTGGGTTGCATGTGTTGCATCTGGGAAGGTTGTATGTGTATTTTGTGTAGTAACTGTGTGTGTGTGGGGGGGAGCTGTTAATATGAGGCTGTGCATGGGCATGCTGTATGTTGTGTATTGGTAAAGCTATGTGTGGGGTTGCTGTGTCTTGTGCATATGGGGAGACATAGTGTTTTATTGTGCATAGGGAGGCGGTGTCGGGATTACAGTATGATCCAGCACGTAGAAATGTGTAACACAGAGGACTGATAGGTAACGTATACCGGACCTTAGAATGACCGGACTAACGTACCAAAGAATAGTCAGGAATAGCTGAGATCAAGGGATACAGAAAGAGACACAACGATAAGGAAAAGCCAGGAGTCAGGGATACCAGAAAACAGGGAAGTCAAAAACAATGCCAAAGTCAAATAACCAGAATACCAGGATGAGAACTGGGCCTAAATACCCCTCCTCTAGATCTGATAGGTTGTAACCGGCCTTTGACCCCAAAGTCAGTTACTAGGTTCACATTTGCATAATTGCTGCTCAGCATTAACCCTTCTGTGGATTAGGTTGCTGCTCGGCACAACTTTTCCTGTGTGGACAGTAAATATCATTAACCACATTTTTATAAGCGGATGAATACGTGACAGGCTGTGTGTGTGTATTTTGGTGTGTCAGCGGGCTAATTTTGTTGTTTGTGTGGAGAATTTATTTACATCTCTTGTTTTATTTAAGATTGTATATATGTGTTAAAGTGTTTTTTTGCAGATTTAAAAATGTTGTCAAGTGATGCATGCCCCTTTAAATCATAGCTCCACTGCTACAAACCTCAACATCAAGAAGAAGAATTGGTAAGAATTGGGGTTAATTAGTTTGTTGGGTTTCATAAAAACACCCTATTCTTTCTCATTAGAGATTTTTCATTTTAACTGAAAGGAGTCGTGTACACAATACATGGGGCACCGGTGCAAAACTGGTCCATGCCCCCCCCACTGCCACCACAACTCACCCCCGCCCACTGCTACCCCATACAGACACGCACAGAGATACACACAAACACACATACATACTTACAGGCACACATACATACATACATACATACAGGCACATACACAGAGAGACACATGCAAAATATTTAGGTGCAGGAGGGTGACTTCTCTGGGGTTCAGTGGCTTACGTTGATGGGAGTCAGAGTTCCAATGCCGGGGCCGCAACACATGGCGGCAGGCACCCAGTCGCAGGGGTCAGCAGGGCAGCTGGGCCCCGTGGAGTGACGGGCCCGATCATACCTGCGACCCCGGTATGTACTCCACTGGCTGAAAGCAGTCAGGTGAAGTGTGATTGTAAGACTCGGCTATGAGGCTACGTTTCCTGCCTCAGATGTGAACAGGACTCAGAACTCCAACAGCTGATCCAATTCCATAAGCAAAATGTAAACTTCTGAAGGACCACATCGAGACTTGATCCTGCACGTTATCATGTTAGTGTATTGCCCACCTGGGTCCACTACCTTGCTATTGTAACCTTGTAATCTCTATTGCTATTGTAACCTTGTAATCTAAATATTATTATTGTTTATATAGTACTAACAAATTATGCACACTGTAAATATGTGTGTGTATAAATATATAAAATATATATTTTTATTTTTTTATTTTTTTCACTCTCTTTGTCTTGTCCTGTAAGCTAAAGTTAATTTTACCAGCCCTATTCCATATATTTGGCTTGTTTACTTAAAGGACCACTCTAGGCACCCAGACCACTTAATGGAAAAAGGTAAGTTTAACCCCTTTTCCCCTTTCCAGAGCCGGGCGGGAGGGGGACCCTGAGGGTGGGGGCACCCTCAGGGCACTATAGTGCCAGGAAAACGAGTATGTTTTCCTGGCACTATAGTGGTCCTTTAATTGCTTTATTAATCTTTATGGATATCTCTAGACTGTTTAATCTGTAAATCTGCATACCCCTGCCAATTCTTTTATTGATACCTAACCAAATGTTTGCTTTGTTTGACTAACCCTCCCCTCATCTATGAATAGATGCATATCTTCATGCAGTCCTATCTGACCCTAATATATCTCTCTTAGACAGCCTAATTTAAAAGTTTCCTGTCTCCACTGGCGGATTCGGGGAGAGGGGGGAAATGGGACAACAGGAAATTCCTCCCCCCCGAGAAAATAGTAAAGAGCCAAAGCTTTGCCTCTCCCCTGCTGGGTGCCTTCACGGACTGGAGGAGAGATCAGAGGTCTCCCTCACCTGTCCGTGGGAACTTTGCTTGCAGCCGGCAGGGGAGGAACAGAGGACCCGGGAGCGGGTCCTCCTCTCACGAGAACGGAATGTTGCTGCAGTTACCAGGGAAATGCTCCAGATCTCGCAAGAGTGAACTCTAGCTGAGCTGCAGGCTCCAGTTCACACTCACTACTAGGACCACCGGGGATTCTCCACCGGATCACCAGGGAATGGAAGTAATATCCCCCCTCTCTGGGCAAAGGTAAGAAGGAAGGGGGAATATAAAGTATATTTGCTTTTAATACAAAAAAAAAATTGAAATGTATATAGATATATTTGTATGGATCTGCCTCCTCCCACAATAACTCCCTACACATTTACAGACTGTACCCCATACACAAACACACACACACACACTGCACCATTCACTCACACTCCACCCCATGCACATACACACTGCACCCCTCACACACACACACTGCAATCCTCACACACACTACACCCTTCTCACACACACACCACACCCCTCACTCACACATTGCACGCCATACATCACACACACTACTACCTCTATGGCAAACCCTTGGAAAGGTGTCAAACTGTTCTTAAACGGTTTGACTACTTACTCTGGGAGTGTGCCAGGGTACTCCTGGCACCATTACACTACAAAGAGCTGTAGTGGTTATAGTGCCTGGATTCTTCCTACCAGTGCCCCTCACGAAATTAGGTTCTGGATCTGCCCCTGCCTTTCTCAGACCTGAACAGAACTCTGGAATTGGATACAGGGGAGGCAGGTTTGCGCACACAATAGATAAAAAAGTGTTAAACCTGTAATATACAGAAAGCCTTCATAGGGCAATATGTAATCATAACATATAAGGTAAAAATATAACCTGGAGCACTCACAATCTTTTGAACCTTATAAGTCGGCTCTGAACTGTAGTAGCGTATCTGTAACTCCAATAGGGTAGCTTTGGTGGAGATGATGGTCCCAGTATAGATGTTTTTCTTTTAGATGAGAAATTCAGGAACCAAAATAAGTATAAAAATACCTCTTTATTAAGAAATAAAATTAAAAATAGCACAACGCGTTTCGACCACTCTCTTGATCTTCCTCAGGTGCAATAAACATGAATGTAAATAAAAAGTTTAAATACCCTATACATAAGTAACTAAACATAAAACATCTGTGTTAAATTCATATACAACCCACCCACAAATAGTCCAAATATGGTTTTTCCGTTTTTCTTCCTCTTCCATCATGAGGGATAAATGTTTATTTTCTTATGGATAAACAAAGAATCTGACCTTCTCAAAATGGCTGTGTGGTCCTGACGTTTCTCTCTCATCAGTTGACTACTGGTTTTGGAACGGAATATCACTTCCGGTTTTTCGGCATATCGCGTCACTTCCGGTTTTCGTCATCACATCACTTCCAGTTCTTTCGTGAACGAATGCAAAAAATTGTCAATCATATTGCCTTTACTTATTAGGAGGGCGTGTTTTAGTTGATGCTAAACAGTCTTTAGTACTCACATTAGCCATTTTGGTTGAGGGGAAAAGACGGAAGGGGATAGGGAAATAAATAAAGGATTAATATACTCTCTAAAATTAGTTCAAATGTGTATACAGTGTATTAAGAAGACATATATCACACTTACATATTTATAATGATTAATATATATCCTTATGTTAAAAAGTTGCACATTTATAATGTTTATATCAATTCCTATGTTGAAAAATATAACATTCAAAGGAAAAAGTAAAGTAAAAAAGGAATGAGATAAAAGTGTTTGATAATAGAATAAAATGAGAATGGGGACATAAACAATAAAAGAAGATAAATCCTACAAAATTAGTGATGTCCCGAACGGTTCGCCGCAAACTTTGACCCTGTACCTCACCGTCAGCAGACACATTCCAGCCAATCAGCAGCAGACCCTCCCTCCAAGACCCCCCCACCTCCTGGACAGCATCCATTTTACATTCATTGTGAAGTTGCATTCTTAGTGAGCTGTCCAGGAGGTGGGAGGGTCTGGGAGGGAGGGTCTGCTGCTGATTGGCTGGAATGTGTCTGTGGACGGTGAGGTACAGGGTCAAAGTTTACCGCATATGTTCGCCGTCCGCGGTGAACCGTTCAGCGAACCGTTCAGGACATCACTATACAAAATAGATCCAATTTCAAAATCTATATTTAATCCCTTAGGGTGTAATGTTTGCAAGTCAAAAATCCAGGAGCATTCTTTTTTACTAAGATTTTTGTTGCTACCTCTCCAGTGTGAAGATATTTTTTTGTATGGCCATAAATTCTAGATCTTTAGGGTTAGATTGGTGTTTTTCTAAAAAATGCTTAGGTATACTATGATTTAAGAAACCTTTTTTTATGTTTCTAATATGCTCGCTAACACGTATTTTTAGAGGTCTGGAGGTTTCCCTTACATATTGTAGTCCACATTTACAGTTAAGAAGATAAATAACATTATTAGAGTCACATGAAATAAAAGATGGAACAGAAAAATGTTTTTTAGTTATTGAAGATATAAAAATGTCTTTTTTCTTCTTTTCAACAGTAGCATTCTTGCAAGCAATATAATTGCCGCAATGAAAAAAACCTTTTTGTTTTTTTGACCAGTCTTCTAAAAATGAACAGAATTCTGTTGTTTAACTTAAAATGGAGTGTGATTATGTATTGCCCATTTTGCAGCTTTTGCAAGTCTGTGGTCTTCTTTAAACATTTAAAACATCATGAAAATGATCTTATGCACTCTCTGGTATAAATTAAACTATAAATAAGTTCTAGTATACATTTAAATTGACACATTCTATAGCATATCTTTTTTCTGCTTCATTTTTCATTTTTGATTTCCAGATATTACAACACGACTTGATTTGCAATGGAAAATTTTTATTGTTTAGAAAGTACTTTTGATTTTCAAAGATAAGACTTTATTGATGAGTAAGTACTTTTTAATCATCTAGATCAGGGGTAGGCAACCTTTTAGCAGCACTGTGCCGATATAGGATTGTGATGTCCCGTAGCGTGCCGATCCTATTTTTTTGAAATTGAGGTGTGTATGCTGCTGTATTCTGCTTGTGTAATTTTTACTGTAATTGCTTTGTATCGTTTTATTTGTGCGTATATGAGCTATTATATTGTATATGTTCATTAGTAGTTTATGGTATCGTGTATGATACATATGAATGTGGGCTGTGTATGAGGGCTGCTTGTGGAATCGTGTGTGGATGGATATGTCATTGTGTGTTTGGTAGTGTGTGGGGGCTGTTTGGGGTATTGCATGTGCGAGGCTGCATGTGGGGTTGTCTGCATGTATGTATATTGTTAGTGGTGTTGCGTTTGTGGGGATTGTGTGTTGTGTGTGTGTGTGTGTGTGTGTGTGTGTGTGGGTTGTTCATATTATTTGTATGAGGGGAGGGTTATTCTACATTTCTGTGTATGTCTAGCAGTGTGAGTGGGTTCCCTGGGTTCCAGTGGGGACCAGGCTGGCCAGGCACAGGTCAAGGACAGGAGCTGCGATAGCTGTCGAGGGCTGCTCTACTACAGTGTGGATTCCCATTCACAAGTGCTGGGAGGAAGGGATCTGAGATCACTTCCTCTATGTGCTGCAATGCATAAATTGAGGTTTGTCCTTCACCACCTCTTCGTATTAGCAGATATCTGAAGTTTTACTGGGACTCCTGATAGGCCAGAGTGCGTTTGTCTCTAGCAGCCTTGAGTGCAGTGCAAAGACACCTTGAGTGCCGTGCATAGCACTAGTGCCGTAGGTTGCCTACCCCTGATCTAGATATTACAGCAAGACAGGCATAAAATTATAAGCAAAACACATGGGAACAGATATTTGGTAAATTAATGTCAACGAACAATAGAACATAATCCATAACAAAAAACACTTTATTAGTATCTCAGTATAATTAGTACAAATACAATCTGCAATAAATATACATACAAAGTCAGCCAAAATATTACAATTTCTGCATATATGGAAACAGGGACAAAAATCATAGACAATCCCCGAACATAGTCATCCCTTGGCAACGGTAACTATTGTTACTGAGAGGTTGAGAGTCTGTCTCTTCTCCTAATCATTATTGCTGCATTTGCAGGCATTGTAATATTTTAACTACCTTTGCTTTTGTATTGATTGTAGTTTGTATTTTTACTAATAATACTGAGATACTAAAAGTGTTTTGTATTGTTTAAGTGTGAAAGGTACTATTTATTTTTTGTGATGTGTGTATACACAGAAACTTATTTAGATTTTTTTATTTTTTTTATTGCGTAGTTGGTTCAGAGTCCTTTCTGATTTACTTTTTATTATTTAAAAGTAGAATTATTTCATCAGTAGAATAAATACAGAATTAGACTGAATTAATGAATAATTATTTTAAAAAATAATTGATTAATTGCATTTAAATGAGAATTCCCATTTGTTAATAAACGGGAGATGTGATAGTAGTATTAATGTTGTTAAAAACTACCTGGGACATTCTTTTGTTGCGATTTGGTGTTTGTTCTTTGTATGTAACGAGTAAGTAGGAAACCATTAATAGTTCCTCATTCCTTAAATTTGTTTTTACAGCGTAAAAAGTTGCATTTATTTTTTTACCGTTTGATTTCTGTTCAGTTCTTGCACATGTTTTGTCTTTGAGAATGCTATAGTGATTTCAAACTATGTTTTTTAGTAAGTACTTGGCAAGCATAAAAAACATTGAAATGTAATTTTATTCACATCCAAAACAGTCAAAAGGTTCTGGGTCAGCAGCACTACAACTAAAGATCTTTTCCACGAGCTGTTGAGTTCCTGGCAAGGCTGAAAACTTCACAATGCATCCTACATCGGAAATACATCCTTTGAAACTGTAATGTCCAATACTGAGATCTGCAAAAGAGAGAGTATAATATGAATCTAATATCATCAAAAATATGTCCTAAAGGTACCCCTTAGAGACGTAGAAAATTAATATATCATTGAAATTCTGGTGCAAAAATACTATTCTAAGTATCAGTGTTAAACATTCACAAATGGTTAGCTGTAGTATTGTATTTTGACATATTTTATATCTGTGTAGGGAGGGTTAGACTTGCAAGGATCAAGGGGGTGTCTAGTGGGGGGGTGTCTAGTATGGAGTGGTGTCAGGAGAGGATTAGTATGATGGGCATAGAAAGGGACAATGTTGTATCAAATGGAGTAGGATTAGCTGACATATGGTTAGGTTTCAGAATGCCAGGGGAGTGGGGCAGTCAATGCCTAGTCAGGGTAGGAGGATAGCTGCAATATCAGAACAGAGAGGTAGGCCTGGCCTCAGAACCAAAGGGAAAGCAAGAGATTATTAGGCCTTATGGAGTGAGGTCCACGCAGAGAGGAGACACAGACTGGTGAGGCTGTTTCTTAATGAATCTTTTTTTCTTTATATATAATTTTTGCTTTAAAAAAAATAAATTCTAGTTTATTACTTATACATAAGAAAAACTAGGATTTCCTTTTAAATTTGGAGTAGGGACTTAAAACAAAGTGATACACCTCCCACCACCCGATATAGAGGATAGGGCAGGAGGGCAGGAGGGGCTAATGGCTGTATGTGAGTTGTGTTTGATGTGTGCATGTGAAGGTTCTGTGTGTTGTATGTAGGTTGAACAGAGAATGCAGCGTGTGTTGTGTGGGGGTGACTGTGTGTCTGGTGTGTGTGGAATATAGAATGAACAATAATGTATTTACACCGTTCGCTTTAATAAATGCACAATGTTCATATTTCTCATGATAAGACATTTACAGTACCTCCTCTTTCTGCTTTTCCTACATATGACACACATTGAAACTGATTTCCATGGCATGCCACTCGATCTCTGGAGGAACATTCCTCAGACGAGTTGCCTCTGAAGCAAGACTCACAGTACTTTCCATTTGGTTCACCCAAGCTGGTCTGGTCAGTGTCTGAAAAATATTTATTCATATTTTAGATGCAAAAGACAGGAATTCATCTCACTGAAATGCAGATATAAGATCTTTAAAGGGATAACTTAAGCACCAAAACAGTCAAGAACTTCATCTTTTCAAAGAGATTTTATTTCCTTGCAAATAAAAACAGATCATATTTTAGATGCAAAACTACTCATTTGTCCTCAGAGAAAACAATAAAAAATGAAATACGAACGTGTGTTTGGGGGAGGTGGTGGGAAGTGGTCTACAGGAGCTGAAAACTAAAATGGGGTCCTGAAAAGTCTGGGTCTAGTTTTGGCATCATTTTATTGTTAGCCCCAAGTCCCTTGTAATACTGTGAGATATATTATACATATAATTTGTGATGTGTCACTTTAAAATGCATTATTTGGAATTAATTATACAGCACGTGGTGGGAAGATTGCTGTGGATTCAGGATTTGTAGGCAGGGGGTTAAGGGTTAATACAGCAATTATGCCATTTATAGATAAAGATTCTTGTAATGCTGTACAATAAAGTAATTATTTGGTGTCATATTTGGGGCCATAAAATTTACTTTTGGACTGAAGACCCTGGTCATTTTGCCACCTAGCAACAGTGCTGTTGAAATGCATGATTGAGGTCTTTAGAAGGACATTCTAATAATGAATTTATCCAGTTAGAGCTGCCTTGCAATTGAAAACAGAGTCATTTCTGAGAAACTGCACTGTTTATCTTATGCAAAGCCATCGCCGACTAGTGGCTGTTGGACAGAAGGCTTCTGGCAGAAATAAGTATTAAATGACTGTGTGTCCTTTATGCTTCTCTATGAAAAGTAATCAAAACGAACACAGGAAAACATTGGACCAAAAAAATATGCATTTATTTTTACAACCAGAGTGTTAATTTATTGTCACTGACATTCTGAGATTATGTATCTGATATATGTCACATCAGGCAAAATTATGGGTCAAAATATATAAATTTACTATTGTTCTACTAGTCATTAGGACGTAGCTAGCACTACAACGTGTATCATCCCCAGGGCTGCCATCAGAAATTTTGGGGCCCCTGACATAGTTAAAAGTCTGGGCCCCCCGGACCTGCCCTCGAGTTTGCCCACGGGGCCCATTCTGACTCTGCCCACAAGGATGCCCTGTCTGTGTGGTGTGTAAAATGGATACAAAGTGCACATTTGTATAAAGGATGTAGTTTTGTGTGTTTTAGATAAAGTGTGTGTTTGTGTAGTGAATGCAGAATGTGTTTGTGTTGTAGTTTTAGAGTGTGTATGGTGAATGCTGTGTGTGTTTGTGTTGTGGTTTTAGTGTGTGTATGGTGAATTCTGTGTGTGTTTGTGTTGTGGTTTTAGTGTGTGTATGGTGAATGCAGTTTGTGTTGTGGTTTTAGTGTGTGAATGGTGAATGCAGTATGTGTTGTAGTTTTAGTGTGTATAGCGTATGCAGTGTGTGTTTGTGTTGTGGTTTTAGTGTGTGTATAGTGTATGCAGTGTGTTTTTGTGTTGTGTTTTTAGTGTGTGTATAGTGTATGCAGTGTGTGTTTGTGTTGTGGTTTTAGTGTGTGTATGGTAAATGCAGTGTGTGTTTGTGTTGTGGTTTTAGTGTGTGTATGGTGAATGC